TATTTCCATAAAATCGCTACACGCTCGGTGACACCTTTAGGCGACGCTGATTGGACGAGCGAATCATGTATTGGTTGCAGTGAAAATACTGTAGCGATTTCATGGAAACAAGCATTGCCTAATGATCTAACCTCTAAAGTATGTAGGCTTATTGGTATGTCATATAATTTAAAATTCAATATGCCTTCTAACAAGTAAAACTCTAGTTTGGATATCAGTAACGCCCAACGGAATTTCTAGGACGCTGCAGAAAATCAGTATCGAGGGGAAAGATACAGTTTTCTCGATTAGATATCATGCTCAATATCAAGGCTATAAATACAGGTCTAATTGGCATCACATGAACGGGGGATTACAGGGAAAAGGTCTTAATCAAGTGAAACCACAGGCTCGACACATTTTCTGTACTACCTGTAAAGACCTCATGCGGGTTCGCCCGCCATCGCGTGCAGTGCAGCCAATTTACACACACAGTGCTTGTAAAATATTCTCATGGAAAGTGGCTCTAAAAGCATCGCACGTTCTGGCTCTCAGAGGAGGCAATCTGTTCCATGTTAGTTCTATGCACATTTTGTACATAAGCCTACGTGTTTTACAAGTGGTAGCATGTAGTGGAGGTTGTTAGCAGTTTCTCCAAGTGGTGAGGATAATTGCGTTGAGCGCATTGAAGAAGCCCGGACGCGCAGGTTTTCTGGGAAAATTATGAAACTTCACAAGAAAATGAATAGGACTAAACAACTACAAAATATCAACTGTCAATTTCAACTAAAAACTTGCTATAACTGGTGCGACTTATGAGTTTTAATTTACTCATAATTTACTATGGTAACGAATGAAAATAACAAAGAATAACGATGACGTACAATTCCATCTTTTTAAAGAAAATATATATAACTCATAAACATAAACTAACTTATGAGATTTTTATAATTTGTTTTGTTGTAAAATTCTTTTGGTCTTCTCTGTACCTTATGAGCATTAGGCGTGACTATGTAGGCCCTAATGTCCTCTATAGTACAGTGATAATCTACTGCTGTACATTAATATCGTTTCTGTGATAAGAACAAAATAAGAACATTTCGAGCCTGAAATTGGCAATAAATTGAGCCTGGGCAAAATTTTACTGTTTCTAATTAAAAAAAAGTGTGAGTAGGTGTTTTACTTTAGACGTAGCGTAATGATATCATTGTTGAGATTTAGAAGAGGAAGCCACATGGGGAAACTCTGTGGAAAAGCAGAGGACACAACATGGCTGTCTAAAGTTGTTGTGACGCAGTTTAGTGGTAAAAATCATCTACACATTTGAACATCCTTATACTGTAAATAGGGCTGCATGCGAGGTTAACGAAAAGTAGGCCTAAATCACATTGATTGTTGAACCTTTTGATAAACCGGTACATAAAGATCATAAAACAAAGGGCCCTACGTAACTGTTACGGTACGTAACTAAATGCAGTTACAAACGATACCGGTACTGCAACGTTGTGTTAACGTATAAGTTACTGACATAACCTAATCACAGCGTTCACAGCGTGATAACCCTTTGCTATTGCTTGAGAGCATAGGCCTGTATCATGCATTTTCAAGCATATATAGGCCTAATGCAGTCAACACTGTATTTTTACGACATTTAAAAAAAAAAATGTGTTTAGTCCGAAAGGAAGTGACGGTCTAACGCTATAAATGGTTAAAAAAAAGTAAACACTTTATTTATTCTGAGTGATTGTGGTAATCAATAGGAGCATGACATTTTACTGTTCCCACATAATTTAGATCGGAAAACCCTTCGCGAATTATATTTTCCTTTTTATTTCCCATATGTTGCCGGTATTGTGAAACCATAGGGCAGAAAAGGGAAATTCAATTTGTAGGCTTCAAGGCGAATATCTGGAAACAGCACAAACACTT